CGCCCCCCCCCCCCCCCCCCCCATTAGTCATAGTCCTTTATGGATTGGTAGAGCTGAAGGCGCCAGCGGACCATCTTCCGGTACACCGCCGACCTCTTGGAGTTGGCCAGCGACCAGGCCCCCGCGCCGCCGCGGAGAGCAGAGCAGCGCGGAGCGGCGCGGGGCTCTGCCGAGGACGTGCGGAACTGGCACGTCGGGCTGAAGAAGCTCTGGCGCGACCACGTGAACCCTGAGATCTTTAAGAAGGACGCTAGAAGAGCAGCAAGTCATAGGTTGGCAAATGCTCGTATTCCATGCCGACTGGATTCGAAGCGTTGGCGACCAGGACGAGGGGACAAGTGTCCCGATGCAGGAACTCGGCCGGCAGATCCAGGCCAGCGGGCTGGCAGGTCGAATGCAACGAGTTAGATTCTGAAGTGTGGGATAGGATCGGATAGGCTTCTACTCACCGCTCGAAAGTCTAAGGGATTCGCTTGACAAGAGGAGAGGCCACAGTCTTTGAAGCACTCCCCCCGTGGTCCTCCGCAGTTTTGCAGACACTACGGTGGCGGTGGGCAGTCTGATGTCCACCAGCCTCTTGGGAAACCCAGCCTAGGTCTGCTAATAGTAGGATCAGACGGACATGTCAACGATAAGCAAACTGACTCAGCTTTGCAAGCTGCGAATCCGGGGACCACGTCGAAAAGAACGGCCCCCAAGCAGGTTCAGCAAGACACGGCAGCACAAGTGCTAAGTATTGCTAAGTCAAGTAGCATGTAGCGAATGACCCTCCTGGGCAATGTTGCCGCCAACGATGTCCTTATTTGCAGTGTGCTGTCCGGCCTTACTGGTCGAGACCTTGCGTGTCTGGAGATGGTGAGTGCTAGCTTTTTGGTAGAGCTGACGGCTTCACAGCACTGGGTGAAATACGTCCAGGGCCTCTCGCAGCTTTGCTTGGCTGGGGATTGCCTGGAGCTCCTGGAGCCTAGCGGCCCGGACCGCTCGAAAGCGAAAGCGCTCTTCTGCAAGCTGGCCTCCTTGCTAACCGCACATACAGAGGACCCACCCCTTCCCGAGCCTTCGAAAGCGCCAGCGCGAGTCGTTTTCGGGTCTTCGTCGGATCTTCAGAAGTTGCTTGGTTCTCGTTGAGGAGGTTTAGAAGGCATGAAAACTATCCTGTGGCTTCTTCGGCTCCCCTCCTTAAGAGCTCAGAGTGAGCTGAGGTTGGAGCGGAAGCTAGAAGCGGCCGAGCAGAAGGCCAGGCAGGCGAGGCGCGACGGGCTCGCGACAACGGAGGCCATGATCAAGTGCTTCCAGTTCAGCGATGGGAGTGTGAGTTCACCCGTCTCCTTTCGCTTGGGGCTAACGACCCAGATATATCTGCTCCAGTTAGGCTGGACGACTTCCGACGATGTGGTGCTGAAAGTGGTGCTGCATTCTGAATCCGATGAGATTGTCCAAGCCTCTGAGACCCAGAATTTGCTGTCCATCAGCATCTCAACGATTGGGACACGCCCTTATTTCGCTTCCCGTGATACCATTGTGACTCCGGATGAGCGCTGGTGGAGCACCAACGGCATCTGCACCATGCTTTCTTTCGATGAGCTTATGAAAAGCCTCTCTGCGGGGCTCTGGTGTGTCGTCTGTGTATGTCAGCACCCTGACAATGCACCACAGCCACCATCCCGACGTGCCACCAACGTGCTAGAAAGCCTGTCACTTCAGCCCCTTGAAGCTGACTTGGCACCAACCTTCACCTGAGTTTTTCGTTCTTCTCCGTGCCACAACGTGCACACAAACGGAAACGATTGCAAAGCTTCGAAGAGGTAACGAGGGTTAAGAGGTTAAGAGTTTCCTGAGCCTGGGCTGGCGCCGCCAGTTTTCCATGTCTGTCCACCTGGGCGACTGCGCGATGGCCGAAAGGTACAGCGCGTATGATCGCCTTGAATTATCTGACAGTTTCAAGGCAATTGTTGCACGAAGTGGACATGTATAGAGACATTTTCCTTCTGTGTAAACCTGAAAAAGGAGAGAATGTCTGCCCGGCCTTGCTTTCTTCCTTGCAACCTGCAGCTCTGCTCTTTCGAAGCGGTGCCCAGGTCATGGAGCGTAAGGCATCCATGCTGGCTCTGCGCAGCAAGCGGGGCGAAGCCACCTGCAAGGTGCCAGGGAAAAGCTGCCGCCATCGGCCATAGATAACAACGAGCAGCGCAAGTAGTCCGGCTTTGCATCCCGAGCTTCTGTGGGAGCCTGCTTGGAGGCAGACACACGCCGGAAAACACAGGAGAATTCCTTACTGATCCACGAGCTGGAAGAGCCCATTCCTTGGCCCGCAGCTTTTCTGCTCTACTTTGCCTGCTTCTTTGCCGAGGCTCCGGATCGAGAAGAAGTCTCTCCAAGCCGAAGTGCAGGAGAGTGTAGCGACAAGTACGACATAGCGATGTAGCGACGTAGCGTAACCTCAAGCTCTGGTTGTGCCTTCCGGCGCCGGAAGGAGTTGGAGCTGCAAGTGCATTTGGCCGAGCAAAGAGCAGAGAACAAGGAGGTGGGATTCTGGGATTAGGCCGCTCCGTCCGCCCTGACCTCATCTGACTCGTCTGACTCGTCTGATGGCTGCAGATCCGGAAAGCTTTGCCGGGGAAGTCTGGGTGCTGCTGACATGTTTGATGAGTCCTCATGCACCCGATCTGTGATGCAGCGATGTAAACAGGCTGGAGCGAAGCAGCAGCAATCCCAGGCAAGTGCCACAGGCGGGCCGTCTCTCGTGCCTGCATGGGGATTCTCTGTTTGTGGGCCTTCTGAGCAAGGCCGCCCAAGGCCTTTTCGACGAGGCACAGAGCTCAAACCAATCAGCTCAAATGATGCCGTGCGCTTCGCAGGCTCCGGCCATCCACAGAGGGCCAAAGGGAAGCAAAGTGAGCAGTGGCCCAGTCGCCAAGAAGCAGAGTGCCCACAAGTCCCAGGAAGAGCCCGGTACCAAGCTGCGAGAGGAAGTACTTTGCCGCCAGCGAAGCGGACTCCGTGCTGAGGCTGCGCAAGGCGAAGCTGAGCCGCAAGGTTGCCGAGCAACGGGAGCAGCAGCGACACCAGCAGAGGTGTGCGTTGCTCCGTTGTTGCCCTTGGTAGCGGAGCGAGCTCATTTATGCTTGTAGGGTGCGAGAAGAGCTTGTGCCCCAGGAGCTTGCATCTCAGCCTCCAGATTGCACATGGCGAGAGAAGCGGCGGATCCCTTCAGAGAGCCCCTGAGGTTGGACAGCCTCATGAAGCGGCGGACTGAAGAGGAGCATCTTAGGCGCGAGAGGGCCGGATCGAGCTTAGAGGGAATGCTGCAGAATGCTGAAAAAAAACCCAAAGCCTTGCGAGGTCTACCAGCTCAGCGGGTGGCTCCCAAGCGTCGAGCGGGCCTCCGGTGGGCGGTGCGCTGTCAGTTGCGGGAGCCTCGACGTTTCCAGAGGTCGGGTCTGCTGAGTCCGTTTCTAGAGAGATGGGGTCTGTTTTTCAAGGTGCGATTCCATCAAAAGGGATCGCCTGCCGGCTCTGTGGATTCCGTCTAAAGCAGGTAAGTTGTCTCCAGCTGGGAAACCTGCCGGAGCCCTCTTAGGCATAGCTTGGGCTTTGGAGCTTTGACAGTGTCTCACCCCACAATGTTAATGCTTCTGCGCCACCAGCGACATCCCGCTACCGAGTGTACAGTGCAGATCTTGCGCAAGGCGCGGCAGCAAAGTCCAAGACTTTGCTGAAAGGGGCCTCCAACCCGGGCATTGCCCACTATGAATTTGTCGACCAGACGCCAAGGACAAAGTGGTGCCGGACTTCTCATCGGCACGGAAGGTCTGAGGTCTTGTTCTCGACTCTAGACTCTCTAGGCTCCTTTCGCGAAACCCAAGGCGCCGAGCTTTCCGGGGGTTTTGTGCGGTGTCATGGGCATGGCATAGATGTCTCCATGTTCCGAAAGAGCCTCCTGGACCTCTCGCTGCCCTGGGCCGTCGGAGGGAGCCTCTGGAACCGCCGACCGGCGACGTGTGAGAATCCACGAAGACAGCGCGTCCTTGTGGTCGGAGCGGGGCTGACCGGCTGCCTGGTGGCCAACCTGCTCAGGTCAGGCTACGAAGAACATCGCACAGCGACGCACGCCATCGCACGCCGTAGTGCTGCAACCTTGCTGCCATCTGCTCGCAGTCGAGGAGGCAGGGACCGCCTGGGCTGGAGATCGAGATCTGGGAGCGCGCCACCTACCCGTCAGGCCGGCAAGTTGGCAGCATCGGTGTAGTGGGGCGTATAGGCCATGCAACAGTGTGGACTGGTACAGGTCGCTTCGGCGCCGCGTTCTCTGGGAAGACTCTGCGAAGTGGTCGGTCTGGTGGCCAAGGCGGATGGGCCGACCTCGGAGCACAGGCCTGTTTCATCCTGCAGAGCCGCTCTGCGTTTTTTTTGGGAGCTGCTTTTTACCTTTGCAGGTGCTCTCGGCGGTGGAGGTGGACTCCGGGCATCCAAATGCCGGGGCCACTGGGCACAACGTTTCGGCTTCTGACGTGGCTGCTTGTTGGAGGGAAGTGCAAGGAATGGTGGAAGAAGGGTTGCTCGAGCGAGTCCCTGAAGAGATGCTAGCAGAGACGGAGGAACGGATGAAATACGAGGGCTTGTGGGCGCACTTCTGGTGCAGACACGGCCTCGGCTATCTGTTGAGGAGGTATATTTCCCAGGCCAACGCGCACCTGCGCCTGGGAGTGCGAGCCGAGGTTGCGTTTGAGAGAGCTGAGCAGGCGACTGTGCGTGGCAGCGCACGTGGCTGTGGTGGAGCATCGTCTGTGCAAGCTCAGGCAGATGTGGTCATTCTAGCTGTCCCGGCACCTGATGCAGTAGAGGTGGTGCAGCTGCCGCAGCACGTTGCAAGCATTATGTCAGGTATCGAGTATGACAGCCGCACGGCCGTCGCTCTTTTCTTCGACCCGGTTTTGCAGGAGCCTGTCGCTCGTGCCTTTCAGGGGCTCGCAGAAGTATCCCTGGATATCCATTCAAAAGAAGAAGTGCACCTGGTGTCCTGGCAGAATGTGAAGGACAGGAGCTTCGCTCATGGTGACATCGTTCGACTGGTGGTACATTCCGCGAACGGCATTTCACTTGACGGGCCAGGTCCTGCTTTAGAGGCCCTTGCAGGCATGCTCCAACTGTCAGCTGCTTTGCTTGAGCATCTTCTACTCGATTGGAAAGTCGTGGATTGGAAAACTTGCCAGATGGTGCGGCCCTTGGAAAGTCTTCAGACCGACCTCGAGCTCTCGGAACCGGCGTTGTTGCTTGGTGACAGCAACGCTTCGCTCATCCTCGCCGGCGATTACTGGTGCCAGAGCAGCTTTTTGGGCTGCTTCTGTTCGGCGAGCGCCGCAGCTCGCCAAGCCCTGGCAAGCCTGAGGCGTTGACCACCAGAGACGTCGTCGCAGCGTCAAGCGAAGCATGCCTGCTCGATGGATGGCATTTGCGAAGAAAAAAACTTAGACTCACCTTCCGTCGGTGGTGCATTTTTTTTCGGTTTGGCTTTTTTGTTAGCCTCGCTGATGGTGCCTGCGTGGCACTGCTTCACTCGGCTCCTATGCTGAAGTATCATACTATTGGTTAGCGGGGGTACATCAGCAGAGGACACTGGACAACCAGTCAGGGCAACACAGCGCATGGCGCTTCACAATCGATTGCCGATGTGTTGTTTTGGAAGTGAAATTATGGACCATGATTTTTTCGCTGTCTCTCGACACTGCAGGATCTTGCAAAAATATGTCCACAGCCGTCGTGTGAGCAATGACGGACCGCTTCGTTTGGCGCAGGCTCTGGCAGGCACAACTTGTTAGAGAGACATCAACTTGTGTAACTCGTGCAGTTTCTTGACTAGTGTCAGGCAGGGTTGCTTGTCGCACAAGATCCAGCCCGCAAGGGCCGTCAAGACGTGGTGCGTCCTGGTTGGTGTCCGGCGGTCGTGGTCGTCTTGGCTGACTTGGTGGTGGTGGTGGTGGTGGTGGTGGGGGACCCTATTTTTTTTGGCCCTTTATTTTTATTTTTTTGGCCTTTTTTTATTGTTGCGGGGGTGGCGGGAAGGCAGGCAGGAAGGCAGGAAGGAAGGAAGGAAGGAAAGCGGGGGAGGGAGGAAGGAAGGAAGCAAGGCAGGGAGGCAGAAAGGAGGGACCGACGAAGAAGAAGGAACGAGGGGAGACTATGTTATATTATATTATATATAATATAATATATTATGCAATATATAATATATAGTATATAATATATAATATATTATATTATATATCATGTTTTATGTTATATATTATATATTATATAAATTCTAATTATATTATATTATACATTATCTATTAAATTATCATATACTATATATTCTATAGTTTATAGTTTTTAGTTTATAATATATATATATATATTATATGTTATATATATACGAGATTAGGGGCAGTGGTTTTTAGACATCCTTGCCAGACGTGCAGAGAGCTAACACAACGCGTTTGGCTCAAGACGGAAAAGGGTGAGAGAGATTTGCTGGGAATCTGCGAGAAAATCTCAGGCCTTACTTGTGTTTCTCTGTAGTGTAGTGTGTACCTTGTATAGTGTATAGTAGGTACGTGACCATAGCCCTGTGACTCAAGCGAAAAGGGTAAAAGGTAGGTTTGTTTCCGCTTCGCATGGTAGCGGAGCTCCTGGTTGCCTAGAGGAGAGGCACCGAGCTCGTGCAAGCGGGCTTTACACCGCTAGCTGCGTGAGTAGCAGCAGCGGGTGACACCGCGGGCTAGGCAGAGGAGGCCAGCCCAAAGGACCGAGGGAGGCTTGTCCTTAAACCCTCGTTAAACAAGACAAGCCGACTTCGAGCTGCGTGTGTGGCAGCCGAAACAGAGGAGCCACGGGAAAAGGTGGCAAGACAGGCAAGGGCAAGACCAAGAGAGGTCGGGCCAAGGGCGCAGAGTCGTCCAGAAGCCGAGGACCGGCTTCAGAGGGGCCTCCGGGCAAACGCGTGAGAAGCCAACAGGCGATCGAGAAGCGAATCCTTCGGGGTTTCGCTCGACGCGCTGAACGGGCGCTCTCTCGAGGCGAAGAAGAGGCAACAGCAGGCAGAGCGGCTCAAGAAGCACCAGAGGTCGAGGACGTGACAGTCGAAGACGCTCTGCGACTGCAAAGTCGACCGCAAGAAGGCCGTCACCTCGGTTACGGAGAGTGGCTCGAAGAAGACGTGTGGGTCCCGGAGGAGCTACCGTCTGTGGAGGAGAACGCCACTTGGAACCGACTGCGGAGACAGAACCCAGGTCTCTCGGCAATAGCAGCCGAGAACCCAGGCAGGTCAGCGAGAGAAAGCTACTTGAGGAGTGTAGCTTCGAGGAGAGTTCAGGCAGGCCTTGGGCGCTTGGCTAGGACCAGTAGGCGGACTACGTCAGGAAGCTCTTCTGGTGCAGAAGCTGGAGAAAGTGAGGACGACACCTTTGAGGCAAGGCAGACCTCGCGGGTGATACCGCCCACCGAGTGGAGCTGGACAGAACCAGCTGTGACGGTGGACGGTGACAACGCGACACACGCACCGACGACAGTCTTCACGTCCAGCAGCGAAGAAGAGGAGAAGCCTAAGGAGGAGCCTGGAGAGTCCAGCTCTGTGGACTTTGAAAGCCGAGCTTCCTCAGTAGGTTGGAGGGGGCAACGAGGAGCGGTCTCAGGGGCTGCGAGCAGCAGCAGCAGCAGGGGCCCTGAGCAGCCGCCTGGAGAGTGGCAGGACCGGACAGAGCAAGGCCAGCAACAGCGAAGCTGGTGGCAAGCCTCGCAGCAAGGAGCAGAGGCTAACAGACTTTGGGCAGAGTGGTACAGAGTCCAAGGCGGAGGAGGGTGGCAACAGCAGCAAGGAGGAGGCTGGTACCACCCTGGAGGAACGGGTTGGCACCGTTAAGTGCGAGTGACACCGCCGAGTGTTTGCAGTAGCTTAGGTTGCTGCCCATCTCGGCGTGTACGCCCCCGGGCGGTGTAGATCTGTACAGTAGAAAGTTTTTTTCTGTGGTTTCTTCTTTTAGCTCTCGCGATGGCGACCCTTGAAGGTCTCGCTGCGCGTGTACAGGAGCTGACTGAAGGCCTGCAAAGAGCGAACGTTGCTTACGAGCAGCAACAAAAGAGGGCAGCAGAGGCCGAAGCTAGACTGTTGGCAGCGGAAGCGGTAATACAGTCAAAGCAAACAGCCGCAGCAGCAGCAGCAGCTACAACAGCTACGAGCAGCACAGAAAGAAGAGAGAAAGAGCTGATACACCCAAGTCATGTCCCGAAACCTCACACCTTCAATGGTAAGAAAGATGAATGGGAGAAGTTTAAACATGTGTTTATAGCTTGGTCTAGCACAGTGCATGAGCGGTACCCTGAGTTGCTGGAAAAGCACGGCAAGAGCAAGGACCCAGTAGATGAGTCCACTTTCACGTCTGAGGAAAGCAGATTGGCCAAGGCCATGTACACTTTTCTCATCCAGTACTGCCCTGAGCCCACGATGAACGTGATCGGGCAGGGGCTTCGTGATGCGAATGGTTTTGAGGTTTGGAGAAGGCTGGTTCTTTTGAGCGAGCCTGCTCACCGGACTAAGGCGTGGGTTTGGCGAAGGCACTTAGCAAACCCCACGTTTCCGAGTGAGATCTCCCAGTGGAGCACCGCTTTGCACCAGTGGGAAGCTGAGCTTCGTGAGTTCGAGCGCACTTACAAGACCGCCTTTTCTGAGGACGAGAAGGTGTCGATCTTAGCTCATGTTGCGCCGAAGGAGCTTCAGCAGAGCATTTTCATGCATAGCGATGCCCTTGACAGCTACAACAAAATTCGAGAATACATCGAACAGTACCTCATCAACAGAAACCTTTGGAAGCGACCACAAGGGTCTCAGTTTGGGTTGACAAAAGCAGCAAACAAGAACGCGGAGAACCCAACGGATGATGGAGGACCAAGGCCCATGGACATAGGAGCTTTGAAGGGTGACAGAGGAAAAGGAAAAGGCGAAAGGGCTAGAGATGGAAAAGGAAAGGACGATTGGAAGGACAAGGAAAAGGGGAAATGGAACGGAAAAGGCTCATGGAACGGGAAAGGAAACTGGGACAACAAGGACAGCAAAGGAAAAGGCAAGAAGGGAAAGGAAGGAAAAGGAAAAGGAGGAAACGACAAAGGAAAAGGAAAAGGAAAGCAAGGCGAAGGGAAAGGAAAGGGCAACAACCCACACGCGGGGAAGCAGTGCCACATATGCCACAGGCATGGACACATTGCCGCTGACTGTTGGTGGAAGGTGGGTGCAGTCGACGCGGAGGCTGCGACTGACACCGGTGGAACCGGTGGCTCTGGAAACACAAAGGACAACACGAGCAGCAGCAACACGGCAGTAGGGTCTGTGTTTGAGGGCACGCAGCGCATTGCAAGGTGGAGCGATGAGGATGTGATTTTCACTGTAGGTGATAGCATTGTTTCGGCTGTTGGGCCGGAGCAGCTAGGGTGCAGGCATCTTCTGGTTGACTCCGGAGCGTGTGAGAGTGTTGCCAAGTTTGGGGACTTCAATGCTGAAATTGATAGTTCCAAAGCCAAGCCGCTTTTCAGTGTGCAAGGAACTCCTTTGAAAGTGTACGGCAAGCAGTATCCGCAGGTCATGTTTGGACAGACAAGTGGGTCTGTTGAAATGACTGTGACCGATGCTGCTGAGAGCCTCGTCTCGGTTCACAGCCTGGTAGCTAAGGGACACAAGGTTGTTTTCAGCCCAGGAGGGTGTTACCTTGAGACGAGAGCGGGTGATACCGTACCACTAGAGCTTCACGGGAAAAGATGGTACCTGAAGGTCATGGACAAGACCGAAAGCTCTACACCGGTGCGTGGGCGTATAGCCCCAATCGGTGACGAACCAGACTTTGGACCTCGAGAGCCTGACAGGTGGAAGAGAGAAGTAAAGGGTGGGGATGAGTACCTCATTCGTGAGCACAACAATCCGCGGAAGAGACTCTTCGCGCCGAGGGTCAAAGACCTTCCTGTGCCGCTTGAGAGAATTGAGAGCGGAAGGCTCACGAAGATGATTTTTGAGGACGATGGTTCGCGGCGAGAAGACCGCAGCATGTGGGAAGACAAGCGGTATGCGATGAGAGAGTTTAAGCATGCATGGCTAGGAGAAACCTGGTTTAGGTTGAAGCCTGAGAGGGCTGAGGAAGGAGCTGCTGCAGAGGAGCAGCCAAGCCACGAAGATGAATGGATGCAAGGCCTTGACGAAGCTTACGAGGAGGAAGCAGCTGGAGGAGAAGAAGCTCATGAGAGAATCGTGGAAGATGATGAAGACGCCGAGGAGCGTTTGATGATTGACGACGAGAGTGGTGAGAAGAAAGCGAAGGCTATCAAGGCGCCAAAGGAGCCAACAGCTGCAGAGGTGGAGGAGCACAACCTTCACCACGCCAACTTTGAGAGTTGGTGCCCTGTTTGTGTGATGGGGCAAGGAAAGAGCAAGCAACACCGCAGAGTCAAAGAGGATCCGAAGGAGCGCATCATCTATTCGGATTACATGTTCTTCACGAAGGAAGGAACAGAGGTGAGCAAAGAGGACAGTGAGAAGAAGAAAGCTGGTTTGGTAACGGTGTTGACGGCGATCTGCAAGGAAAGCCAATATCCATTTGCATTGGTTTTGCCATCCAAGGCCAGCGTGGACTACGCGAGCAAGGTGATGATGAGTTGGATCAAGGACCTCAAGTGGGACAAGGTGGTCATTCAGTTTGACCAGGAGAGCGCCTTGAATAAGATCTACGAGAAGGTGAAAGCAGGCATGGGTGACACCGTAACCCTGCGGAGATCACCGCGATACAGCTCCCAGTCCTTGGCGGATGGGGAGATGGTCAATGGACTCATCGCAGGAAAGGTGCGCACGTGGCTTGCTGAAGTTTCCGAGAAGTACAAAATGAAGATCGGTTGCGACAGTGTGTTGTTTCCGTGGATTGTGCGCCACAGTGCGTGGACGCTAGCAAGATTCCACATCAACCACTCGAAAACAACAGCTTTTAGGATCGTGAACGGATACGACTACTTAGGGGAGATGATGGTTTTCGGTCAGGTGGCAATGGCGAAGTATCCCAAACAGATGGACAAGTCTGCCCCGAGATGGATTCGGGGAGTGTACGTGGGAAAGAACGCTGTGGGAGACGAGCACCTGTTGCTCACAGAGGCAGGGGTGCAGACCTGCAGAACTGTACGAAGGTTGCCAGAAAGTTCCCAGTACAGCAGTGAAGTGTTGGAAAAGGCCAGAGGAGTACCTTGGAACAGGTACTTGGGAATCGCCACTAGCAGAGTACAGCAGGAGAAATCCGAGAACAAGGCTGTTGCAGTTCCCGAGTTGGAGGCGGCCGAGACCTACGACTTTGGGTCGAGTGGAGAGAAAGAGGTGGTGTTTGTGCCGACGCCAGCAGCACCAGCGCTTGAGAAGAGAGGAGAGAGAACAACAGCTAGTGAACCAGAGAGCAAGAGAGCCAGGGTGGAACGACAGTCTCTACTCGCCTTCCATTCCCGGAGATATGGCGCAAGACATGGTATCCTGCATCAGCAACGATGGTGAGTGGAACGGGGCAAGCACTTGCCTTGGAAAGGAAGACTACGAGTACTACAAGAAGTGGTTGAAGCAAAACGAGGCACTGTTCAACTCCAACATGGTTAGCAATATCATGGACTACCTGGACACCATGCAGATGGACGAAAGAGAGCTCAAGAGAGCAAGAAAGGAAGAGTTGAGAAAGCTCAACGAAGTCTACGGAGCCTTCACGCCAAGAGACCGGCGCCAGCTGTCAAAAGACTTGACCGTTTTCGGTCACAAGTGGGTTGACAAGGTGACAGAAGGAGTGGCGAAGTCAAGACTCACGTGCCAGGACTTCAAGAAGAAGCAGGAGGCGAACGAGAAGCATAGTTCGGAGTACCCGTCGAACTTTTGCCCAACGCCGCACGCAACCTCGCGCAAGCTTTTGGAAGTTTACTCCTTGGCAACACAGATGCCAAGAGTGAAAGCCGACCTCAGTTCGGCATTCCTGATAGCCAGAGATGGTGGGGACGCTCGTGGGCAGCCAGTGCTCATGCGACCGCCAAAAGAATGGCTTGAAGAGTATGACGAATGGTTTGCGAAGCCAGGCCAGAGATCCAAGAGCAGATGCGTGAAGTGCCAAAGGAAGAAATCCTATGGCGGGTGGATGGAAACCTTTACGGCAGGCAGTCAGCAGCAGCCCAGTACAGAGACAGGCTGGAAGAAATCCTCACGAAGGAGCTGCCGAAGGAAAAGTATTTCTTCAAGCGTGGAAAGCTGGATGCTTGTGTGTTTAGGTGCACTTGTACAGGCATAGTTTTGGTTCATCATATCGATGACTTCGATGTGTGCGGACCAGCTGACCTATTGCAGGACTTGCTACAGGTGCAGTTGCCAAAATGTGGATGCAAGCTGAAAATGGGAGAGCTTGAGTGGCCAGGAGAAGCAAGCACTAGCACGTCTGAGTTCCTTGGTAGGAAGAAAATCCTTGTTGAGAATGCTGTGGTGACATTGCCAAATGAGAAGCATGCCACAGACATCCTTAGGATGCTAGGACTTGAGAATGCCAAGCCTAGTCCAGTGCCAGGGAAGAAGCTCAATTTGAGCGACAACAAACCCCTCGACGGCAAAGCTAAAGAGATCTTCGCTAGCTGCGTAGGTAGCGCCACCTACCTATCGCAGGACAGGCCAGACATTAAGTTTGCCTGCAAGGAGCTAGCAAAGCGGATCAGAGACCCGCGCGAATGCGACATGCAAAACCTGAAGGTGCTCGGGAGGTACCTTCGAGGAACAATGCAGGTTGGACACGTCACCAAGCTTAACGAGCAGGTTGACCCGGTCGCAGGGATTCCTCTTCAGGGGTTCTGCGACAGCGACTGGGCAGGAGACAAGGAGGACAGGAAAAGCACGAGTGGACAGGTGATAGTCCTAGGAGGGAGTGTCGTGGAGACCTCTGCGCGAACGCAGCAGGGGACGCCAGCTACGAGCTCAGGCGAAGCTGAAGTCCGAGCCCTAACGCAGTGTGCTCAGGGCCTGGTGTTTGTGAGGAACCTTGGTGTTGAAGACTTTGGCATGTCAATCGATGTGCCACGGCTGTTTTGTGACAGCAGTGCAGCGATCCAAGTTGCCAGGAAACTTGGAGTTGGAAAGATGAGGCACATAGATCTAGGACACTTGTACATCCAAGAATTGGTGAGAGAAAAGAGAGTTATAGTGCAGAAGATCAAAGGGACAGAGAATCCATCAAACGCCTTGACAAAACATTTGGCCACAGGGGCCGAAGTGGAAGAAGCAAGGGAGATGCTTGGTCTAGTCACTCTGGACAAGCAAGGGCTAGACAAGCACGTCTCAAAGAACACGATGCAATCGGTTGGGGCACTTGCAAGCTGGAAAAAGTGGCAGCCGCAGCAGTGCACCAGGCTCAGCACGAAGCAACTCGTTAGTGCTGTAGCTAAACACCGGCCTCTGAGGGAGACACCTAATGGATCTTATCCCTTATGGAGCGGGTGATACCGTTGCTTCGTGGATGCCCTACATCATGATTAGTCTCACGTTGAACATCATCACATTGATGGTTGGAGTGATCTTTTGCCTCTGTAAGTGTATCCAATTTGGAAACCAAGAGGTGATTGTTTACATGGGCGAGAAGTGCCCACACGGAAAGCTCTTTGTGAGCCGGCAGGGACGCAACGTCCACACAGACCCTGGGTGTCAAGGACTGCACAGAGCCAACGACATCAAGGGCTTCACCTTTTGCAAGTTTTGCTTTAAAAGCAAGACTAAGTGACGCATTTTGAGCCCAATGCGCGACAGAGCGACGACAGGGGAGCAACAAGCTACCCACTACAAGGAGGGTGCGAGAAAATCTCAAGCCTTACTTGTGTTTCTCTGTAGTGTAGTGTGTACCTCGTATAGTGTATAGTAGGTACGTGACCATAGCCCTGTGACTCAAGCGAAAAGGGTAAAAGGTAGGTTTGTTTCCGCTTCGCAGAATCGCGCTTTGTCGCGGTTATCAGCGGTAGCTCTAGAACCTGAGTGTCGCAATTGCCCGGTGCCTGCTGCTTCTGCGCTGAAACTGCCCTGCCCTTCTGCATCTGCGCCCGGCTGTTGGATTAGCTGCTGAGAGACTTAGCCGCAACTTATGTCTGAGAGGAAGCAGAAGCTAGATCCTTCAGGGGTACCATTTGCTACAAGGCAACGGGGTGGGAAAAAGCAGAAGAAGGCTGATCAACGTGCCAGGGAAGTCGACGAAGGTGTTCGACAGCCCGAGGAGCACTGGTCAGAATCCACCTTGCCTCCCTGACTGCTGAAGCTTCGGGACTGTCTCTGGAACACGGTGCCAGCGACGCACAGAATCCGTGGTTCAGGCTGCACGGGCCTTACTGTCACATGTAGAGGTGGCATCTCTTGACATGATTTCAAGTCAGGCCAAAATCGGAGTAGAAACTAGATCAGAGGGTTGCGGCAGTGCTCTTGTGTAGGTGTGCTAGGTCCTGCTAGGTCGCAGTGTGCAGTTGCCCCACGCCCCACACCTGTCAGGGCCTTTCAGGAACTGCAGGCGCACGGACGCCGTCGACACAGCGATTCGGCCCATCGACATCCCAAGAAAAGTGCTGCGATAGTGCTTTTCTTGTAAGAAAGGCTAGGGAACGCCGCGATGGTGTTTTTACTAGCAGCTGGAAAGGCCCCGAACAGGGCAGTGATGAAAAGAAAAAAAGAAGAAGGAAGAGGAGGGAGGGGGGGCACGCTGCGATAGTGTGTCACCCTTCACATAGTGCTTCTCTTGCAAGAACGGCCGGGAACGCCGCGATGGTGTCTCCCTGGCCGGAGGACTAATCCTCAAGGTTGACGAGAAAAAAAAAGGAAAAAAGTGAAGAAGAGGGCCCCACACCCCCACACCCCCACACCCACCCACCCACACAC